GGGGCAGGGGGACGTGTTTGCTTTTTTTTTCCCCCTTTCAGTTCTGTGATGTTCATTCTGTTTTTTTTTCTTTTGTTTTTCTGTTACGTTGTCCCATTTCAGGAGCAATTATGTTTGCCTCTCCACATTTTAGAAGAGAAAGGTTTGAGCCAGGTTGCAGTGACGGTCCAGGCTCTCCTGGAGCTTGCCCCACCCAAGCAGCAGCAGCAGCTCTCTGCTGTTTAAGGACATCCAGGCCCCCTGGGCTTTGGCCTGGCCAAAACAAGGAGCAGGACAACGCCATTGCTGCTGCCAGCCATCTGCTTAAACAAAGCTCTGTGTGTTCTTAGAAGGAACTGTTGCCACGATTCCTACCAGGAATGTTTTGCTTCATTTCTCCATTTTAGGGGAGGTTAAATCCATTTCCACTGAATTTATTTTCATGAAGGCACAGTTGGTTTTCTCAGGTGAAACTTGTCAGTGCTGAGAATCCAACTTTGATGCCTAAACAGGCTGTGTTTTCATGCAGTCAGCTAATATCCAGAGAGAACACCCTCGCAGACGGATAGTTAGCTCTCCTGGGGGAGACAGACGTGCTATTACCTTAACCAGTTCCCAAGATATCTAGAGTTCCCTGGTTTCTAAACACTGTTTAATGACTCTCCTGGAGCATGTGTGAAAACACCGACTCACATTAAGTAGGTCTGGAGCTAGGCCTGGAAATCTGCATTTCCAGCAGGCACATTCCAGGTGCTTTTAATGTAGCAAAGACCATTGTTCCAAGCCAGGTACTTGTGTGGTTTTGTGGGGTACTGTCCTCACTGCATTTTTCATTCACATTTAAAACCAAAAGCTATATTATGCTTGGTTTGAGTCTTCTATCAAAGGCAAGACAAAAGTCATATCGATAGCCTAGATTTTACATTGTACAGCAGAGAAACACACTTGCATTGAAAGCCAGTGTTCTAGGCCTCCCTCCAGCTTCAGCCACCAGAGCAGCATATTTAGCAGAGGAGCTTCTGTGTGTCATCTTGCTGTAGCAAGCACACATAGGAGACCGGGCAGCTCTCGGGACACCCAGACCTGCAAACACACTCCAGTCACAACTGGCAGTGGCAGATCATGGAAACAAGCAAAGGGACTGAAGGAAAAGCAAGTGTCTCATCCTTAACTAGCTCCCAATTTCCTGGCTGAATCAAAGCATGCCCTGCATATTAAGGGTGTTCTCTTGTCTTTCCAGCCCCACCCACCTGCCCGCCACAGTGCCAGCACTGGGCTTTGTGATCTCAAGGCCAGGTGCTTGCACAGCAGTCAGAAGCCTTCTAGTTCAAGACCCAGAGGCTTTCCTTCCTCTGACCCTTTTTAGGTGTCAGTAATAACTTTTGGTTTTCACTTTTTGTAAACCAAATAAATAAAGACATTCATTCTATAGGTTTTTCTGTAGTTGTTAACTTGTGGATTTCCTTTACCAGTTCACACATTTGAGCACATTTTTGCCCTTTTTTTTTTATCATGTCAGCACAGAATCTACAAGTAAATTCAAGTAAAAATCATTTTGAGTAGCCGGACAAAATAATGTTTCCTCCTCCTCCTCCTTGCAGAGAACATTACCACTTTGTCCAAGTATAAAATTATGTAACAAGATAGCTCAAAGCCCAGTCCTCTGGGGGCCTCAGTAATAGAACCAGACCCTATGTGCTTACACTTACAAACACTCCTACCAGTGTGGAACTGATTTAAAACTTAGTTGTGTGTATTTCTCAACTCCAGCTATTTTTCTTTCTAGTCACAGCAATCTCTGAAGATTTTAACATATTTATGAGGAAATAAGTCCAGAGCATGTTACATAATGCAACACTTGTCATTTTTCCACAGCAGTGAGTGGAAATGTTGACTTCTTTCAAGATTTGCACATAATATTAAACCTCATTTTTACCAAAACTAGTTCAAATTTGAATTGTTATGAACAGTTGTGTACAATGCTGGCTGTTTGTGAAGGGAAGACACCATGTTGATTTTTTTCTGCCAGCATGCAAAAAATGGTTTATTGGAGAATTTATTATCTCATGTTATTTAAACTGGGAAGAGCAGTTTAATGTTTAGCCTTGCTAGACTCCATGTAAAGTCACAGTTGTTCCTGAACTGCCACAGTGCAGTGGCCTTCTCGCCCTGAAGGCCTGAATGGGCTGAGAGTCGGCCCAGCCCTGGCCACACACAGAGACGGCCGTCAGCACTTCCCAGCCTGTGCAGCCCACCTGCTTCGCACCTCACACAGTGTTCTCTCTGATATCAGCAGATCTGCAGTCAGCTCAGCGGAGGGCCCAGGCCAGTCTTCATAGAGGAGGAAAGGGCTTGGTAGCAGCAGACTTTCCTTAATAGCTCTGAAATACACCCTTCCAGCTAACCTACAAGTCTGTAATCCTCTCGATGTCTACTGTCAGCAGTGACTAATGTGTGCCTGCACTGCTGAGTCCGGTGAATTTTTTCAAAGTGCTTCGATGGTTACAGAAATGAAGGAACACATGCATTATTAGAGGTCTTTTTTGTATGCACGTTGCAGTGAGGTGCTTTACAGCAGATTCCGTTTTCTAAAAATGCTATAAACCTGTAATTAGTAAAAGATTTTGTAAAACACTGTCCTATATTTGTATGTCTGTAAATATATTGTGTATGTTCTAAGTATAAATATGTCAATATTACGTATGTTATTTTTAATTTGCCTGTATGCCACCTTACATGTTGAAGTTAAAAGCTAATATTCAGTAACGTAGTAATCATTTGAAGTTGTTTTTACCTAAACTATGGTTCCCAAAAAAAGGGCATCTAATTATTTGAAAGACCACTAATGTTATTAAACTCATGTTATTAAAATATGCCTTCGAGATTAAAATTCGCTTTCTTAAGGAAGTACAGATACCAAGACTTACTTTATAAAAACATAGAAGGATCACTGTTCTCTCAGACATTACCAGCTGTACAGTAGAGAAAGCTTTATTTTTATTTTTGTTGGTTGTAGGGCTTGAACTCTGGGCCTGAGTGCTGTCCCTCAGTAGAGAAAACTTTTGCAGCCTACACACAGCATTCCATTTTGATTAATCAAGGGAAGAATGAGCCAGTGAATTTGTTTTTTAAGAGAAGAGAGGCTGGGCACCAGTGGCCTATAATCCTAGCAACCTAGGAGGCTGAGATCTGAGGATGGCATTTCAAAGCCAGCCCAGGCAGGAAAGTCCATGAGACTTATCTCCAATTAACCACCAGAAAACCAGAAGTGGTGCTGTGGCTCAAGTGGTAGAGTACTTACCTTGAGCTGAAGAGCCCAGGGACAGCACCCAAGCTCAGAGCGAGCACCACAACTGACCAAAAAAAAAAAAAGAGCCAGGCGCCAGTGGCTCACACCTGTAATCCTAGCTACTCAGGAAGCTGAGATGAGAGGATCACAGTTCAAAGCCAGCCCAAGCAAGGAAAGTCTATGAGACTATGAGACTATTATCTCCAATACAACACTAGAAAACTGCATGTGGCTCTTGGCTCTGTGGCTCAAGTGGTAGAGTGCTCACCTTGAGCTGAAGAGCTGAGGAACAGCGCCCACACCCAGAGTTCAAGCCCCATGACAAAAAAAAGGAGAATGAATGATAAGCAAACAGTTTTACTGTGTTTTCATACACCTCAAGCCTTCCTACCCGAGAGTAAAATTATAACTCTAGCCTCTCTGTACATCATTATAATAACAAAATTTTTTAATGAAATGGCTCTTATCACTGAGCTAATCAGCTGAAGATATAAAATCTTAAGAGGTTGTGCATGCTAAGATTTCAGGTCAGATATCTAAGGATAACCGTTCGAAGCCGGAGCAGAAAAGTCCCAAGAGACTCTTATCTCCAAATTAACTACTCAAAAACCAGAAGTGGTATAGTGGCTCAAAGTGATAAGAATTCAAGCCCTGAGCAAAAGGGCCTAGGTCCTGTATTCAACCTCAGAAACAGGGCCTAGGTCCTGAATTCAACCTCCATGGCTGTCAAAAAAAAAAAAAACGTGAAATAGTTGTATCACTGGTCAAAAGTATGTCTAAACCAGTGCCTTCCTACAAACTAGCATTCGGATCCCCACCACAGGTGAGCTGTGTGGCCGCAAATCCTACTTTTGACAATAAGTATAATGTATAGTCCTATTGTTCCCAGAACACTTGCCAGGACAGCTTATAATAAGATGCCAAGTGATAGTAGCTTATGCCTATAATTCTAGCCACTCAGGAGGCTGAGAGCTCTGAGGATTGAGGTTCAAAGCCAGCGTAGGCAGATAAAGCCAAGAGATTATATCCCCAATAACCAGCAAAGTACTGGACTGGAGGTATGGCTCAGTACCAGCTGTGAACAAGAAAACCAAACAAGAGTGTGAAACGCTCATTTCAAGCCCCAGTACTGGCAGAAGAAGGGCAGGGGGGGAATGTGTATTCTATGCAACTTCCCCCCAATTAAAACACGAAAATAATAATAAATGAAAAAGAGGCAGGAAAGCATTTATTAAAACTTTACCATGTGTGTATGCTAGCTAACTTTATAAACAGCACCTTAAAATTCCTACTGAATACTTCATTTTTGTTCTATAAGAGTCTAGTTAGATTAGGTAAGATACATTACAGGAATTACTGACGTTTTAATACCATGCTATAGCTATACCTAGGAACTTTTTCTGGTGAGGTAAAAATGAGGAAATTTCACACTTTCTTCCAAGCAAAATGAAAATATGCAGTTGATGGTGAAATCGTAGTTCCGAGTTTGTAAACTAGCATAACCGGCAAGGCGATTCCCCCAGCTTCCTCCGGGAATGCCCCAGTCATCAAGCTGTAGCTTGGTAGTATTTGTATCTTCCTCCAAATCTTTTTTCTCATCCAAACGGGCAGAGAGAAGGACGAAAGAGAACTTGGTCATTTCTTGCCTTTCCGCTTGTCCTTGTCCTTGCCTTTACCTTTGCCTTTCACATCCTTGACATCATCTTTCTCTTTCTTAGGCAGTCTGAAAGTTCCGATTTCCCTCCGTACCACTGTGCCTCGCCACCAGGCCTGGAGCTGGAAGAGAGAGGCGAGTACAAGGAGTTAAGAGTGCCCCTTCCAGGGCTGGGAAGGTGGCTCAGTGGTAGAGTGCTTGCCTTGCATGCATGAGGCCCTGGGTTCGATTCCCCAGCACCACATAACCAAAAAGGAAAAAAGCCAGAAGTGGCGCTGTGGCTCAAGTGGTAGAGCGCTAGCCTTGAGCAAAAAAAAAAAAAAAAAGCTCAGGAACAGCACTTGGGACTGGCACCACCCCTACACGCGTGCACACACACACACACACACACACACACACACACACATACACACCAATCCAGCTTAATTTGACGGGCTGATGCCTATCATGGTGCACTTCATGCCTTTAAGACAGATTAAACAGTTAATATCCTAAGGTCTTACCATTAGATACAATAGTTCTGAATACAGTCTAGACTTTTTTTTAGACTTTTTTAAAAAACTAGACTAAGCCAATAATGAAAAAGTAGTCTTCATCCAGTTCTTAACATTTTTGCTCAAAGTCAAAGAATCTTGGCTAATTAAAAATACCATAGAAGCTTCAAAACTACTTGCTAAGTATACTCGGTCTCCTGGGGGAAAACTTAAAGCTGGGCTTGGGTACCTGGTCCTGAAAGTATTCTCAACTTGCTTTTGGGGCCAGGGCTATGGCTCAGTGGTAGAGCTCTTGATTGTATGTGTGAGGGGCAAGGTTCAATCCCCACTACCAACAAACAGAAAAAAAAAGTCAAGATTCTTTTTTTTGCAACCCAAACTATATAGTCTGCCTTAAGATGTTCCTCTTTCAAAGAGAACGGTCACCTTCCAGCCAGCCATCAGGATTTTTGCTTAAAATGTTTCCCAGGATCTGTAAATTGCTAGCATTGTTGTAAATAGTATGTGTAAGTTCATACATAAAGTTAAAATATTTCTTTCTAACCTGCTGTCCACTTTTTTTTTTTTTGGGTCCAGTCATGGGCCTGAACTCTGGGCCTGGGCACTGTCCCTCAGCTCTTCACCTCAAAGCTAGTGCTCTACCACTTGAGCCACAGCGCCACTTCCAGCTTTTTTTTTCTGCTTATGTGGTGCTGAGGAATTGAACCCAGGGCCTCATGCATGTGAGGCAAGCACTCTACCACTGAGCCACCTTCTCAGCTCATGCTGCCCACTTTTTTGTTGTTGTTGGTTGGGGTTTGAACTGGAGGCCCTGGATACTATCCCTGAACTCTTTTGCTCAAGGCTAGTGTTCTACCACTTGAGCCACAGTGCCAATTTGGGTTTTCTGGTAGTTAATTGGAGATAAGAGTCTCATGGAAGCCGGGCGCCAGTGGCTCATGCCTGTAACCCTAGCTACTCAGGAGGCTGAGATGTGAGGATCACTGTTCAAAGCCAGCCCACTGGCTGGGAAGGTGGCTCAGTGGTAGAGTGCTTGCCTTGCATGCCTGAGGCCCTGGGTTCGATTCTTCAGCACCACATAAGCAAAAAGAAAAAAAGCCGGAAGTGGCACTGTGGCTCAGGTGGTAGAGCGCTAGCCTTGAGCTGAAGAGCTGAGGGACAGC